CCCACCCACCCACCTACCCACCCACCGACCGACCTACCGACCTGCCTGCCTGCCGGCCTGCCTACCTGCTACCTACTACCTACTACGTACTACGTGCAACGTACTACCTACTACCTGCTACCTACTACCTACTACCTGCTACCCACAACCTACCACCTACTACCTACCACCTACCACCCACCACCACCCACCCACCCACCCACCCACCCACCCAGCTGCCTACCTACCTGCCTGCCTGCCTGCCTGCCTGCCTGCCTGCCTGCCTGCCTGCGTACCTACCTTCCTACCTACCTACCTACCTACCTACCTACCTACCTACCTACCTACCTACCTACACATCTTTATCTGTGTTGTTTTCTTTCTCTCTATCTCTTTACTTATGTATCCATTTATCTACCTATCTATCTACCCATCTATTTATCCATCTATTGATCTATCTATCTATGTATGTATTTATCTATTTATCTATCTATCTACCTGTCTATCTATCTTTCTATCTATCTGTCCTTCTACCGCCAATCCATCCATCTATCTATCTAGCTAGGACGTTGGACAGCTTTGCTATGTTCTCGGGAAAGCACCAGCAACAACAACAGCATCAGCGGCAACAGCAACAACGACAACAAGGACCCTCTTGAACCAGGCTGCCATTTCCGAGCGCTTGACGCGGATAGAGGAGGCTGTTCAGGCCCATCTGCGCTTCGGGTTTGCCTTCGCAGAGTTTGTTTCTCCACAGCCCCTCAAAGTCGAACTGAGAAGCTCTATGCGGACACAGTGCAGTCCCTGGCCTGGACGGTCCGGGACGGCCGAGTTCATGAAGTGGCTTCCGATCCAGAGCAGGATTTCATTTGAGCCACAGCCCAGAGCACCCAAGGCTCTTGGAGCCATAAGGCCCAGGCAAGTTTTCCATCCCAAAGCATATTATTCACAACCGGAAGCCCATAACAGGCCCTGCCCGGGCGCTTGACAAAGTGCGAGCAGCGTGGCGAGGAGACACGGCATGTTGTGATGAGGATCGATACAACTGCGCTGCTGTAGTGGAAGCACATTGGTTGACACTGTGAATCTCCAAACATTTGTTAGATACGCATGCCAACGACCTGAAACACACCAATCGCGATGAAGTTGAGCGTGCTGATCAATGACAGCACAATTAGGGTCTATAATGTCTGTGACTATGGCACTGCTGCATCTGCTGCTGACAGCAAGGTCGACGCCCAAGACGATGGTAATGAAGATGATGAGGTGTTGGTGGCCTTGTCTCACATTTCCTGGAGCATCTGAATTTCAGAGCCAGGTTTAGAGCTCACATCAGAATTTAGACCGGAACTCACTCCGAACTTCCATTTCGAAGCCCGCAAGCCGAAACGGCAGCCTGGGCGGCCGGAATTCATCCCGGAGCTCCGGAACTCACTTTTGAAGCAGACGCACCTCCTTATTTGGCTGACCAACTCCCCCCGAATTCATTCCGAGATGTGAAGAATCGGCAAGAGGTTTCGAATGTGTCCTAAGCTGCGAATGATTTAAACACGGTTCGGGATTACAGCCGTGCTGTGTCGCATCCTCCTTGACGCTGTATCGAAGCTATTGTGCTCTGAGGAGCTGGAGCACGACCTCGAGAGTTTGCGAGAGCTTCCTGCAGCGCTTGAGGCCAGCACCGAGATGGTTGAACCTGAATTCGCAGTACACGCATATTGGGCCAGGCCTACCACAAGCAAGCCCAAGCCCTGACGGAGCGGGTTGCGCACTGCGAAGAGCTATCAGAGGCTGGGGCGGCTGTGGGCTCTTGGCCGAGTGTTTGGCCTCATTTGATCCGGGATGGGCCAGAGGGAATTTTGCCAGATCAGTCAGGAAACCTTTGGGCATACGGCAAGAACGGCCGTCTCGCTGTCAGAACGGCTGAAAAGTGAGCCACACTATGTCCGGAAGGCGATCAACACACAAGCCCATGTGCTGTCGGAGCGGGTGGCAATGTGCGAACAGCTGCCAGAGGCCGCCGAGGGCTAAGGCTTGAGCTTGGTCGCGTGGGCTGTGTCGTGACAAAGGCAGACAATGAGGCCTGGTCAAGTTTAGACTGTTTAGTCTCGTCTAGACAAAGCATTCACAAGCCTAGGATGCCATGATGTTCTAGGATTCGTGTTTCAATCGTCCGTCGATCAGATCCTGTCCTGATATGTCAACCCCTCGGAAACGACTCCGAACCAAGGTGTCCAGCAAGCCCCAACTCCTGTCGGAGAGGGTGGCGCATTGCGAAGAGCTCTCCGAGGCTCCATGAACCCAGACTTGAGACTGCAAAGGGCTCCAGTCTTCTGTTAAGTTTTTCTCTGGACGCACTATGTTTGATAAGGTGGCTAGTGAGGTGTCTCAGCGTAGAAATCAAGGCTGCGACAAGAATGCACTGAAATTAGGCATTGGCCATGTGCCCCGATTGAACACGTCGTGACTCAGGAGCAAGACTCCAAAAGTCCTGCCCTCCCGGTACCCCACCCTGTGCCCGGAAGGCATCCAGCAAGCAAGCCCAAGTGCTGTCCGAGCGAGTGACGCAGTGCGAACAGCTGTCACAGGCGCACAGTTTTTGAAAAAAATCAGAGGTTGAGATCTTGTGGATTCAGTGTACAGACAGAAACTATCAAGTCACCTCTATGCGAAGCTCCCGAGCTTTCTCATGGAGCCTTGCTTCCCTGTTGTAAGGCCGCGATAGGTTTGTTGCTTCCTGGAGGGGGAAATCCGACCACGTTGGGGTCTGCGGCTACGGCTGTGCAGAGACCGTTGAGCAACGTTGGTACCTTTACAAGTTTTTAAATGGTGTCATGAGTCATGAGGGTATATTTATGGATGCGACTGATAAGCAGAACTCCGAGCAAGACTGACCAGTCCGACTAACTGAATGGGACCGCGCATGGCTGCAAAGGCGGTTGACACCCTGGTGGCCCGCTTGGAGAAGTGCGAACGACATGCCGGAGACGGAGACGTTCTTGCCAGGCGGCAAGCTAAGGCTTTTCAGGTGTCTCGCAGTTTTCCTACTCTTTTAGACGCAGAAAGAAAGGGCGTGTCTCAGGTAGTTTCCATACTTTGCCACGTAGCCATTCAACAGTTCCCATTCCATGTGTCGGAGCGGAAACTCCCAGCTCCGGGGCTCTCCAATAGCTCATTCCGATGGAGGCTCCCGGACGCCGACGTCGACCACCCGAACCTTCCTGGTCAGGCGCCTTTTCCCTCTCCTTCCCACTTGATGAAACAGCAATTGCCCTCTACTCAAGCTTCATATGCCAGGCTGTACATCATGGGCTGTTGTGCGAGCCATGTTTCGACCAGATATCGTAAACTACCAGAGACCCTTCGAAGTTTCAGAAGTCCGGGGAGAGATCTGCGCTTTTTGTGAGGCCTTTGAAGATGGCTCTCGGGCCCTGGCCCGGGTTACTTCCAGGCGCGGAGTCTTTTTGCTCCTATTTAATGGTGTACACTGCACGGCATTCTCTCTTTTAGGGACCCCAAGCTACTATGTTGCTTCTCATGTTGCATGTCTCAGTATGTTTAGGCAACTTCTGCGACACATGGAGTTTGATCATGTTCGCGTCCGTGCTTTGCTTTCTGGCCGTCACGTGGCACGTGGAGGCTAGACTCGCTGGAGGTTCAGCAGCGTGCCAGTGAGGTCGGGAGTCGTCGAGGTAGATGGCTTTTCGAGTTGAGAATTTCGGGCACTATGGTCAGGATTTGTAATCAGGGTTAAGGAGTCGGGTCATCCGTCCTCGAAGGTCGGCCTATAGGTCTCTGCTGAGATCTGAGCCTTTTGCGGTGCAGAAACCGAGCTCTCAACTGCTCCCCAACAGCAGAAACTGTTCGAAGCCCAGATCCCACTTTCGGTGCAGGCTGGCCTCGCAACTGCGAAGCGATTGAACGAGGAGATGGAAAGCTCAATCATGCAGAGGCAAGCTCCGACAAAGGGATGTGGTATGAGGCGCAGCCTCAGAGCGAGGCTGGAGAGAATGGGTGAATAGGCACATGCCGAGAGCACGTCGTAAGAGTTCGAGAGGCTCCTACAGTCAATCAATAGAGCCGTGGCGGTGAATGGCAAAGCCAACGCCTGCTCACGCAGGCTGCAAGCACTGGAGGCGGAGCCGACGAAGAAGGTGAAGCTTGCAGGGAGTCTTGCTGAAGACCTTCGGGCCGGGGCACGCCCGTGGTCCAGCTTCGGACACGGTCTCTCACTCGTTTCAAGGTCGTCATACTAGACTCCAGCCAGACCATCCTGTCCGCGACATGTCACATCCCATCCACAGACAGATCGCCAGATCTGTTGGCGCGCAGCGAACAAGGAAGATCTAGCAACTGCTGCTAGTTTCATGTGTCCTGTCTTCTGCGGCGTCCTGAGTGGCAAGAGCTCCTGCGACCGCAAACCATCAAAGCTGAAAGCACTAGGTCCCTTATTGCGTATTTTGAAAGCCAGGTGGATGCCGCCGAGCCTTCCGAATCCCAGGCGCCAAGTCTGTTGAGATTTCGTCATGTACGTTCAACATGCATGTGTGCAAACATTCACACATCATGTATTGATGTATGTATGTATGTATGTACAGGTATGTATGTATGTACGTAGGTACGTATGCAGGTACGTATGCAGGTATGTCTGTCTGTACGGACGGACCGACGGACGGACGGAGGGAAGGAGGGAGGGATGGATGGATGGACGTGTATGTGTACATGTGTACTGACACCATTATGTACTGGCAAGTCTGGAGTGGGTCACGCAAAGCCTTTAGCGCGTGGATCTGGTATGAGCTTTTGGCAGCTCAGGTGCTTGCTTCGCATAAAGCACCTAGGTCAGACCGAGAGGTGATGGGGGGGCTTTACCATCCAAAAGTAGGACTGCACCCACAGTCAGTAGCAGCAAGAACTAATCGTGCGCACCAGTGCACCGACACAACAAACACACGACACACCGCAGCAGTACAGGGGGGAGGGGTCGCTTCGCCGTCTTCGCCGAACCACACGTGCACCACCATGTCGGTACAGAGTCATCTGCAAACTGCCGTCGATACAACATGGTAGTAGAGCAGCGTGTCGATGGGTGATGTCGTGGACTTGCTGCTCCGGTGTACATGCACAACGATTTGCGAGCCTGTGCGGAGTTACTCAGCAGCTTTTGGCGGCTTGTCGACGTACCGATGTCGATGTCGCTGTCGCGGCGTGTGCATGCAACACTCGCTCCCGAGAACAGGCAGTCTCTCGATTTTTTCTCAAAAAATACATAACCTGGATATCCATATGCATACAGACATACAAACAAAGATCTAGGTTGATGTGCATCATGCATGTATAAAGGTTGACCTAGGGTTCTTTTCTGTGGCAAGCGGTCTTATCTGGGTGTGGGTGTCGGCATAAGCCCGCGTGTATGTATGTATGTATGTATGTATGTATGTATGTGTGTATGTATGTATGTATACACACTCACTCACTCAAATGTTTCTTGATTTAGATAGCTGTTAATGTTGTTATTCGGCCTGTAAATGTTGATTTTCAGCTGTACATGTGTGGGTGTCGGCAAGACTTGACTCTGGGCCAAAGTTCGTGGTGGGTTTGCATAAATCAAGTAACGATACAACAACATTTGGGCTGGAATTTGTCACTGGTGTCAAACGATGGCGGCACCAGACTGTACCTACTCTTCGGTCAGCGACGCTTGTCCTTTTCAAGAATCCCGCAACGAAGCGCAGTTCAGGACTAAGCGGCCTATTCCCCGAAAAGCGACTGTGGCAGTTCCAAGCCGTAAACTTCTTGCACACGACGCTGTCCTGAAGGCGTTGTCCGACACGCAGCTTATGCTTTTGGATCTGCAGCGACGGGTTGGGCCCCTAGATTTGCTCTTTCTGATGCAATCCCCCCCAACACGGAAGGGCACCTCAACCACTTATTACGTCGTCGTTTGGCTCAGTTGACATCACCGCCCGAAGCCTGACCCCCTGTGAATTTTCAGGGTATGACAGAAATCGGTGTCCCAAACCTTGCGCTGGGCAGGCGTAGTGGGTTCAGGGTTTAGGGTCTACGGCTTTAGGGTTTAGGTACTACGACTATGGAAGTAGGTCACCGAAATCATAACGAGGATGGTTTGTTGGGATCCCCGATCATGATGGCAGTTTGTATTCTAGGGCTTAGGCTTTAGGGAGGCATTTTAGAGCTTTTTAGGGTGTTTAGGTGTAGCGTTTGTAGAGATGGCCCGAGAATCAGCAAGATAAGATGAAAGTTTCAGTGGCATCCTCAATGTTGAACTCACCGACATTGGAGTCGATACAATCAGCAGAGATTTTACCCTAGATCCCAAGACTGTTAAACCCTAAACCCTCTTCCTGGCCCAGGCGGTAGGACCCGATAACAGAACACAGCCGAGGAAAGAAAGCTTGGCGGTTACTCTGCATAGGAAACAGAGGATGGCACACCCACACGGCCGAACAGCCTTATTCCATGAGCCCAGGTCTCTCTTCTGGAGCATGCCATGCCGTCTCAAGGATGCCGTTCTGAGGGAGCAAGCAGCCAACAGTGGAAAACGAGGCACAAAGGCAATAGTCGTGGCAATGGCAAGAGAGGGGAGGATTAGTTATGGGGGGCTTTGTTCTTTTGTGTGCACCATCGCTCTCGTCTTGTTCATAGTTCTTCGAGCCGAAGCCTTTTGACTTTAGACGTGCGGACTTGTGTGGAAGTGCGGGAACTGCTCGGGAGAGGCCCGCATGATTGACTCGGGGTGGCGCTTCCCAGGAGCAGGCGAGAACGGAGAAAGCGGAGAGGCAGTGCCGACAAACCCAGACTGCCTGCACAAACGGGATCTTCATGCTGATGCTGATCACATCTATATTCTATATGACTATCTTGGAGACCAGCTGACAGCTTGGAAGACTTGAGTTATCCCAACTTGCATGCGAGTGGTTGTGCTGGAGAACCAGGTCCATTGAAAACAGGTAAACACGCAGGGCATCTCAGGACGAGTTTAATCAGCACGCTAGAGGCTAAAGCAGCTGCCTCCCAGCGCAGTCCTGGCACATGTAGAAGTTCAGCATGCGAGGTGCTGGCTGTGGAACCAACCCCAAGGACGGCCACTCTGACCCATGCTGCAGAGCTCGCGAAGAGCCTAGAACCACAGTGCGAATACTGCTTGGGTGTGACACTGCACGTAAAACGGCATCCGCCAGAGATAAACATTATTGAGTAACTTGTCATAAACATACATACAGAAATATACAGTATATATATTTATGTATATATAACATGACTGTAAAATGCTGAGATGGAGCAAATGGAGCTGGACCTGAAGCTCGCCAGGGAAGCTGCAGGCGGACACCTGCTTTGTGTTTCGGGGATGCCTGCATGTGGTACCTTGGACATGGATCAGGCTTTTGATTGATCATGTTCTTTTCATGTCATGTGCCCGCAGCCGTGGCAAAAATGCTTCGGCACGGCATCTGTGTTGGTGCTTAGGTCTCGCAGCTGCAGCAGGAGAAGCAACACTCATGACCTGCCACACCAAATCATTGTCCAGAACTACGCAGACCATGCAATGTACGAAGCTGAACAACGAAACACAGAAGCTTTGTTCTAGTGCTGTAGTCCCACAGATGTCCTGCGGAACCAATGCGACCCAGACCCCAAGTGCTGATGCAAAGTTCTATAGATTCCGTTTGGCTTCCGATAGAGATAGCGGTGAGTAGCATTGTACTTTCCATTGCTCCTCATAGCTCCTAGCCAGAACCAGAGTCATAGCAGCATCAGTCTCTTGGAAACCGTGTATATATATATACAATATGTGTGTGCATATATATATATGTATATGTATGGTACCCCCCCCACGTATATAAAAAAATATTATATATATATATATAATATCGTCCCCCCATCCATATATATATATATGTATACATAAATATAAATATAAATATACATAGAAATAAATGAATAAATAAATAAATGAATGAATAAATACACAAATAAATAAATAAATATATATATATATATATACATACACATACAATATAAGCCTAAAGAGACTCCTGGCAGAACACCTCCAAGCTCTGGCAGGGCTGGATTCGACACCCGCTGTGCCCGAGTCTCAGAAGCTCGCTTGTCCCCCAAATACGATGGTGGTGGGTTCAGCTGCAGGATGTGGGGAATTACTGTGTCATAAGATGTGTATGAATCGTAGCTATAGCTGAAAAAAGTTTTCTGCAGCAGCAGATGTTGGTTCTCGGCACCATGTGCGGCAATGCAGCGCTCTGCAATGCCTTGCCTAGCCCTAGAAATGGGGGAATCTTCGGCTGAAAGTTGTCAAATACCTGAAAAACCGATAGAATCCGAGAACTCTTCAGCCCGTCTGACACGGTCTTGGAGTCCCAGTCGGCCCTGCATACCTGTGGGGAGAGTCTAGAAGCTTCAGGCCGGCAGACTTGGCTTTCCGTGCTTTTAGCCACGGGGCTCAGGGCCGTCAGGCAGACAAAGCCAATTTAAGTCTTAATTCCGCGTCCAGCTCTGCGAAGGTAGAATGAAGGCGCTCAGGCACACCTTGCAGAAGCACAACATTACAAGGCATTGGGTTGGCCTCGATCCAGACTATGATGCCCAGCCCTCGGAAGAGAAGGAACTCCTCCAAGAACTGGAGTGGCAACGGACTTTGACTCAGAACCTGACGTCCTACAGTACGGCCTTGGAGTCAGCGGTTCAGAGCCTCCTCCAAGCCCAACAAAAGTTGTCGGATGTGGGCCTAGAGCTGCTATGTCCCGGAACCACCGGCGTCCTCCAGACGCTGAGGGCCACTTTAGCTCGGGTGCGTCAGGGCACGGAGGCTGTAAAGATGCCACTTTCTGGTCACCTCCAAACCTTGGATGCCTGTGCCTCGGAGGTGAAGCGCTTGGAGGAGGCAAGGGCACTGTCGAAGCATTACGAGGAGAAGGTGGAACAGCCTGGGCCTGAGTGAAAAATCTATCCTTTGAGTGCGCACTCAAGATATGAAAGGGGGGGGGGGAATGCGGAGTTCAGCGAAGCTGTTCTCTGAGGCTCTCTCGCGAGGTGGAGCGCAACAACAAAGCGGGCAAGCCGGTGAGCTCCACGGAGGCCCGGCTGGAGCGCAACCGCGAGAAGCTGCAGCAGGCCGCAGCGCAGGCAGCTGAGGCGTCTCAGGTGGCTCAGCGCGCGCTGCGGGCCTGCGGGGACCGAAGGCCCCAGCTCGCAGAGCACGCTCGCGCCCTGACGGCCACCATGTCTAGCACCCTCGCCTCCGCCAACGCCTCCGCCTACACGGCGCCTGTCGCGACCGTGCTGGCGCTCCCGCACGGTACAGGCGCCGGCGCTTCCATCTCACCAAGTCAGGTGTCTCCGGCCGAGTCCCCCAACCGCTTCAACCCGTTCGCTGAAGAGGACGAGGGCCAGGAGGGGCAGGAGGACAACAGCTTGAACCCTTTCGCCGCAGAAATTCATGGCAGTGCGCGAGCTGCAGACAGCTCAAGTCCTTCCAAGGCTTCGCACCAGTCCGAAGTACAGTCCCACTGGACGACCGTTCCTCCCTCAGAGTCAAGTGAGGAGCCCAGCAACGATGTGCCGCCTGTAAGCTCCCTCAGCCCATGGGCTGAAGCCACTGACACAAGCGCAGTGGCTAACACTCCCGGCCAGCTGAAGGCCGCTGATGCCCTCAAAGCTTAATTTGAGCAGCTCTGGCCCAGGCATGTCTTCTTATACAGCTTTCTGCCTACAGCCGATGAGCGACAATGCAAAAATGTGCGGTGCCTCCAGCCTCTTAGTGGACAATCAGCTGGTGTTGGGCCCTGCTTGTTGCAGTCGTGCAGCTCTTGAAGTCTTGCCATTCATGTCGTAATCACTTCTCTTGTCGCTCTAGGGTTCAAGCTCCGTATCTCATCCAAGATATGTATCATCACAAGGCTTATTGCAGTACAGTAGGTTGTACAGCCAAGCCGTGCAAGAACTAGGGTAGGTTCCAAGGCGCATAAAGGCGCCTCGCTCCATGCACGAACCACGTAATCTCAAGTCTCAGATTACGGATGCAAGCCCACACATTCCCACTGTCTCTCATGGACGACTTGCTGCTGAGTTTGCTTCAAACTTGCCTACGCACAGTGCTGTCGGAAAGTTTGCAGTAGAAAGAGAAAGATGATGGCACCCCAGAGGAGTCTCGAGGGTCTAAGACTTGAAGTCAAGACAAGCCAGGACTGGAGAGGCCCGACTACCAGTGTAGTTTTAGGGTTTAGGGGTTTAGGGTTTCGGGTTTCGGGTTATGCGTCATCACATCCGTGCCGGCTTAGGCCTACCAACGATGCCAGAGCCTCAGCATCCAGACAGTCCAGATCCTCGGTGTCCTGTGGCCATTCTTCCCGGTATTGCCCAAGAACCCCCAGAGCCGGAAGTTGCTTGGGGTCAGTTGGCATTCTGGACGCCCCTCTGGACCTCAGGGCTTGAAGAGAAGAGTCCATCCGTGTTGCATCGGGTATGGAACTGATCGGCAACGCTCGAACCAGGATGGCACACCTCGGGGACTTCCTCCGTTGGCAGTCTTGCCCTCAGACAGGCACAGGAGATTTCGTCCCAGCAAGTCTGGCAACTTTCAGGGCGAGGCTTTGTGTACTGACTCGGTCAGCATGCCGAACCCAGCGCATCGTTCGACTGAGGCCATGAAGGTACTTGCTTCCCCGAGACTCTTGTCAGGGTCTCGGAGGGGCAGGCAGCCTCTTGCCCTCACCGTAGGGCTTGCAAGGGGTAGCTTGCACCTGCTCCGAGGCAGCTCTCGCTGACTCCTCGCCTGACGTGCCTGGCCCGGTTGACACCGACGCCATCGCATCGTGGGGCTTTTTTAAAAAACGGGGAGGGCAAGAAATGTGGGGCGGTTCGGAATGATCTGCTGAGTACTTGATTGCACCAGAGGATGATTTGTCTCGATTCAACAACGGAGAGGCTTTGCTCAAACCTTCAAGGAGGCTCCAGGAAGCCCCCCATCCCAAGCCATCACTGAGCCATTTTCATGTTCGGCCGGGCGGAGCCATGGCGGAGCTCGTAGAAGAGCGGGATGTTGGCCTCCGAAGCTTTGATCTACTTGGCTTCGCAGTTTTTCGCTGCAAGGGCCCTGGAGCTTAATATCCTGTGTTGCGAGGACACTATGCGCTGCTGAGTCCTTCCGCCAGCGGGGCCACAAAGAATTGGCCACTGTGGCTCAAAGGGCTTTTCAGCCAGAATCGCCTACAAAGATGCACTGATGTGCTTTGATGGAACGATTCCATATGGGTATACAATTTTTTTGAACGCTTCGCATCGTCCGCCTCGGCCCGGCTGTGCTTGAAGCAGATGCATTGTTTCGGAAAGCAGCGGGTCGGCCACACAAGAGCGCGGTTGCTTCAGACTGTTTTTTTTTTATTGTTTTTGTGTCGGTATTTGTTTTCCTGCTGAGGCTCCGAGCAAGAATCCCACGTGGAAGGTGACGCATGTGACGCATTCCCTGCATTATCCCATAGACGTTACTATAATCATCGTGTCACACTTCTGACTGGTCTCGTATACAACCTCCCATATGTCGGAAGGGGAATCCAACGAAGTAAGACACAGCCCCACCAGGCTTTGGCATCAACTTCGCGAATGAAATGATGTGAGCCAGCCCGTCTTGCCTCGCCGCAAGGAAGAGACTCGGGAGGGGATTGTGGGGAAACAGAAGCTCTGACCGCTTCGGCCGGGGCCGAGGCGAATTAGGCAAGCAGACACGCCTATTCCTGTTCCGCCTCGATGCGATCCAAAAGGCTCCGGTGTTCTTCGGCATCGTTGCCGTGTCCTCCGGAGGACAGTGCGCTTTCGGCCCAACCAACTCATGTCGTCGTGTGCTCTTTGGCTCTTAGCTTCAACGCCATCGATCTCTCTGAGAACGGGGGTCTGGAAAGGAGCCTCGGCGAGAGGTGCCTCCTCTGGATTCCTGGAGGGCCTTAGCAAGCACTCTGCTCCTTGGTAGCATTCTCAGCTAGTTGCACGTGCATGTGGAAGCACTCTGGCACAAGCCAAGGGCTCCACTTCTTCAGTAGTTTTGCCAAGGATCCTCGCTTCCTACCTGACCTCTCGGAACGGCGAGGACGAACTCTTTGCGACTTGGGCAAGGCGTGCCTCGGGAAAGACCTTCAAGGAGCCTTGCACTAGGGACCCAGGATGGTGTAGATATCGGGTGAAACACAAATCTGAACCTTGAGGCCCAGCTCCGCCCGCAGGATACCATCACACCCTGTGGAGATGTGACCTAGCTTCCTCCTCCTCCTCCACCTCCCTGTGCCTGAACTTCCCTGAGTCCACATCCGACAGTTCTGCGCCTCCGCATTCCAACCAATAGATCCGGCATATTCTGATAGGCATCCGTTTGCACTGAAAGGCCAGGTCAGTAGCACCGACATGTCCCTCAGTTCTGTGCTTCCCCTCCTGGAAGCATCGAAATCCAGAGCGCCCGGATCGGAAAAGCTGAAGTTGACCCTAAACCCTCAAGCCTAACCCCAAGATATCCAGGAGGGTGTGTCCTGTCTGCGGCGGCTACTGACCCTCCGCGCATCGTCAGTGTCTGCTGCTTGGGATCTGGGTCGCTACTTGGTGATTGTAGTTTATAGCAAATCATGCAGGAGAATACATTATGATGTGTGTAACAATCTCATGACACTGTATGATATATGTATACGAGTCTATTTTGGGAATCCAGGGCTGCAGCCACTTCAGAATCCTGCCCTCTCACCGGCCCGGCCAACTGTCGACAGACGATCTTTGACTGAGGCTTCAAGGCAGCCAGCTACGACGTTCTTTGCCAGATGCTTCCCTGATTAGCAGTGATGGAAGGAAGTTACGTTAAGAAAACCGGCAAGTGACACCTCCAAAGAGTAACAGACACCGATGGGGCCCAGTCAGCTCGCTGAGGCCTAAGTCCCAAGGCCCAAAAGTCCAGCAACCTACCCTCAAGAAAGTTTGCAGTTCATATCCCAACGGAACCTGAGGAATACCTCGGCAAGGGCCGATCGCAGGAGCCGCAGACTGCATTGCGTTACCGCAAGCCGCCTGCCCGGTTTCCCCAAACAGGAGACAGATGAAGGGCGGAGCCTTGCTCTGCCACGCTGGCAGCCCCGGCCAGGAGCGAATCTCAGAGTTGCAGAGCTCTAAGAGGGGGGACATTCTCTCGCTTTCAGAAGGCCACAAGGAGAGCTCCTCTTGCTGGCCTGGCCTTCGCAGAGTGCCGCTTGCCTTGACCTCAGAGGGTCGAGGAGGCTCAGAGGCGAAAAGCGGCTGAGGTATCGGACCAGACCCTGGAAACTTCCAGCGCCGCCCGCTCTATCCGAACCAAAAATGCTTGGTGGTGCTGGCTCGATGCCCCTTGGATCTGCTTTGCTTTGCTAGCCTGAGGGAAAGGGAAAGCTTGAAGTGCAGCAAGAGCCCTTCAATCATTGCTTGCAATACAAAAAACGGAGTCGGAGTCGGAAAAAGCTTAGTGTAGACTACGTCAACGCAGGCTGCAAAGGGAACCGACGCGTGCAATCTAAGCACACGCACCACCAGCCACGCAGTAGAAACACCTGGACGTGATCTTTGTACTCTGACTTGAAGGCGGCGGCCTGGCTTGCGAGCACATCCCTGGAGGACGCCAGGCTGTTCTGACTCACCTGCGACGGCTCTTTCGCCGGACGCGCCGGTATCACGACATCCAAGGCGTTTCTCGGATCGCAGAGACTGTCTTCTGGGTTCGCATCTTTCGAAGCCGTACATGAAACCCCACAGAGACTCAATGACACCGAACGAAGAGCACTTAGCTTCAGAACTCCTCGGCTCGAACCGTCCCGGCCAAAGGTTGAGCTGGCTCTCTTGGACCACTTCCAGCTGGATCTCTCCGACATGGAGTCAGAGGCAAAGGAGCTGGCGGACGTGCTGCTGGATGGGACCCTAGGTTCAGCTTGTCGTCTTCCCTTCCGGAGCCAAGTCCCGGGTCCCCCCAAAGACCAGATGGGTAGTTCTATAAATTAGGGTCCTGTTTAGGGTCCTTTTCATAAGGGTGGGGACGCTAATTTAGAGAACTACCCAGATCCATTCCCTGATTCTCAGGATTGGGAAAGATGCGCAGGACTCTCAGGAGCACCTTGGCCAATCTTGCCCCGGGCCTGGCTTTGGGGCTCGCAGCACTACTCTGTGAGTCAGGGGGGCTTTTGAGATAGGATGCTGCAAGTGCATGCGTCGACTCGGAGCTTCGGGTTCCTGAGGAGAAAGGCTCTGCAGGTCTCTCTGCTGGCTCAAAAAACTCCCGGGAGTTTTTCAAGAATCTCGTTGCAACCCATCACAGACCAGGTTTAGAGACCTCGTGTAAGGTATGGCGCCCAGCTCCGGTTGTTGGTCGCTTTGATACTTGGCGAAGTCTTAGCAGAATGCTTTTCTGCTTGGGTAGTGAAGAAAGTGCTGAGAAGAAGGAAGAGCATCCACGATGCATTCAGCCGCGTTTCAGACTAGAGTGCAGGTGGAAGACTACCAATTTGTAGAGCGATCCTGCGTGAACAGCCTAGACCGGACAACAAAGGAAACAAGGCCCCCGCCCCGCAAAGCCTCCCGACGAGCTGCGAGGCTGAAGAGAAAGAGCCCTGAATGGTGGCAGCTGCCGGGCACCTCGACTTGACAGGCTTCCTGAAGCCACAACATATACTTGCAGCATTCCGGGCCAGCCCGGAACCTTATTCCCAAACCCTTACAGCCCACCCCCCAACAGCACCTTAACACACATCCAAACCTTCTAAGACCTTAAACGCCCCCTATAATCCCTTAAGAGACCCGAAAGATCCCACGAGGAGAGCGGCTGGGGGGTCTGGCCCGGGCCCTGCGGCGGCTGAAGCGGAGCCCTCTCGCCTGAGCCTGGGACGACGAAACTCTTCAGAGGCTTTCGGTGTAGGGCCTTTGGGGCCTTTATGTGTATGGTCCATGGGGTAGCTTTTGGGGTTCTTGGGGCCTGAAAATCTCAGAACTATAGGGCTCAGAGCTTCTGAAGAGACTTCGGGTTCATGTCACATGGCACCCCTGTAGCGAGGACCCTCCTAGAGGGACTGAGCAGATGCCGGTAGCTTTGCGGTATTTTGTGGCGCGGCGAGGCTGCCATCGATCTGAGAGACCGAGGCGACTTCGATGCCTGGGCCTCTCCCGACAAGCTGAGCCGTGAACAGGCTGCTTGCCGCAACAAACGGTCATACAAACCAAGAGACAGGCCCGGATGCGCCAACGTTGCTCCACTAGACGCACGGAGCCAGACCCGCCGAGTGCAGCATGCGCAGCATTGCGACCCTCAAGACTTGTTGGGATATTGCGGCTGTGGCTGTTCTGTTGCTTTGCAGGGGCGGCAAGATTCAGCGACAGGCTCTTGCTGTTGCTTCGACAAGTTACAACAGGTCCAAAACCCTACTTCCATCGGACATGCCTGAAAGCCGAGGTTATAAGTTGCCTGACGAGCTGCAGGGTCAAGGGGACCACGTTCCCGCAAGTTCTGTCCAGCCTCAGGCACTGGAAGGCCAGCGGTTGTCTTCAGTACAGGCGCAGAGAACGCGTGGCATAGGCTCCTTAGACTGGACACGGCGCTTGTCGTATTTGCGGCTTTTGGAGCTTCTAGGGCCTCCGGCTGTCTTTGATCGAAACCCTCCAGGTGACCACCGCAGACCTGCCAGGAAGGGAACGCACAGCTCTAAAGTGTGCTTTGGCCTGGCGCTTCGGCACTGCAGTTGGCCCATGCCATATACGGCTCATGCGATGGCCAAGTTCCCAGGCTCAAGCAGCCGCGAGTGGCCTTCGACTCGGCGGTGATGCTTTTCTCTGGCTTAAACCTGCAGGCCCCCGGGGCTAAAGGGATGCCGAAAGTCTGCAAACTGGTCTGCTCGCTTGCTTGCAGGCTAGTCCGAACGCCCTCAGTGCCTTCGAGAGCGAGGCTCTCCTGGCCCTGGGAATTCTCGTGCCTCTCACGGAGCTCATGTCGGAAGATGCACTTCCCAACTGAAATCGGTAGGTGTTTGAGGCCTTCGGGGCCCTTGCGGGCATATATCTGTTGTACATAAGTCTATAGACTTTCCCACTGCCGGCGACAACCCAAAACTGCAGACCCTTGTGACCTTCGACACCCCGGAGAGATTCCCTCTAGATTCTCTAGATGTCGATCGCATGCACGTTTCCACGGCCCTTCTCTCAACAAAGGTGCGCACAGACCGCCGGGCGCTGGAGGCTGCTCTGCAGGTGCCAATCCGATAGGGCAACAGATGGGTTAAGGTTCTTGAGTTTGGCGAGGTGGGGCATCTGCCCTGACCATGATACGCGAGAAGTAACGGGACAGTTAGCTTCTGTGTGCGGGTATCATCTTCCTGTAACCTGTTCAATCCATCAGCCACGGTTCGGATCATGTCTAGACTGCAAGAATAGGTTGCAGTCCAACCAGCGACTTGCTTCAAACTTTAGTCCGCGATTTCACGGCTTTCCCCAGAAACGCACAATATCCGGCAACCGAAAAGCACCGAAACGAGCTATGTCGACACATCGAACCAGACTTCATGAACTTGAACCGGCCAAGCAGCTTTGCTGTGGGACCAGGCAGCTGCGAGATCCAAGATCAAGGGCGTTCCAATTGGTGCATGCATAACCCCACCATGACTGGCTAAGTATCCCGCGGTGTTGAGCTAACTTTGGAATTCCATGTTCCCCAAACCAGGCACCTTCAAACCCTAGGCGCTGCCTATGTGGTTCATCCCCGGTTCTAAGATGATGCCATTTTGCAAGGCCCTGTCCTCAGATCCGGTGCTCTCTGCGCCTCCCGCTGCCTGGGCCTGGGCTGCGAAAGCGCTGCAGCCGGGTGCTGGAACATAGACGGTTTAGGGCCTGGGGTTTAGGGTTTAGGGTTTAGTGGTAGGACTTGTAGGGCTAGTAGGAGCAGTCGGAGTAGGAGTGCGGCTTTTCCTCTTTGCTGTTGTTGTGATTGCATGTTTTCTTGCCGCGATTGTCACCACTGCCAGTCGTACTGCTACAGGCAACAGCTGTTGCGACTATTGTACTCCCGCTATGGCACCTGTCAAGCATTGCACGGACCCTCGTCTCTTGGTCGTCGTTGCTCCTGCTGCTACTAGTGTTCTCACAGGTGGCCCTATCTCTAGTGTTGTTGCTATATTTCGGAGAATTGGCGTTTTGACTGTCTCGCAGTACTCATGCGCACTTCTTGCTCTAGCTGGTGCTGGCTGCATGGCTACTCCTTTGACGGCGGCTACTGCAGCTGTTCTTCCCAGCTACAACCTACTATGCGGGCTTCGCCAACCATCATCACCAAGGGCTCTGGCCCCCAAATCTCGTTTTCGGGCAGCTCAGTTTTCGAGGTTCAACACAGCGAAGAATCGCGTCGCGAATCGCAGAGCATTGGGTCGTGAAGCTCACATCTGGACGGACCAGCCATCGTACGTGAAGTTACTAGTACATGGCATGGGTAAGTCAGGCGTGCGCCAACAGTTCCGCCGAGTCCCGCTCAGATCAAGGCGCCTTTGCAGCTGAGGCACTCCAATGGCCCTGGGCCACTACACTGGCCAGCCTGGTCTGCAAGGTTCCAACACGGGGCCCCAGCAGCTCCGTAGGTTCATCCCCTTATGCAGAGGTTCCACATCCCCATGCTCCAGCTCGACGTTCCACTGCGACTCTTCCAGAAGGACGAGGACTTGAAACACTCTGCGGCTCTGCTTACAGCGCGGTTTACAAAGTGCAGGAACGACCGGGATTGGCACTTCAGACCAGAGTATCGAAGCCAAAACGACGCTCTCTTCTGATTCCTTTTCGAGATCTGAGGTCAAGATCCTCAACTCCTCGGATGTTGTGGGCTTGGATGCGGAGTGGCCACCCAATACCTTCGGAATCTCCATCCTGCAGCTTGACGCAGGAGTAGTCAGGCCAAGAAGCGAAAGATTTGACCAGTCGCTTGCAAGGCAGTTTGCTGTATGGCACGAAGTTCACATCTGGGATCTGCAAACCCTCGACCCGGCTGCTTGACAGCTTCTGGAGCTAGCGATGGAGCCATTGGGCCATTGGCCGTCGGTCTTCCTTTCCTCAGTATGCGGAGTCGTAACTGAGTAGTAGTATTCTCATCCTCCACTAGCTAGACCAGCCGAGGAGGTTGTACGTCGGCACTTGCCCACGGTGCTCTTCTCCCCCAGCATCCGCAAGGCCATGTTCACAGAAGTCATGCGAGACGTGACCGCAGCCTCCACCATTCTGACTTCCACGTCTGCATACGACTTGGGCCGCAGGATGGTAGATCCCAAAGAGTTTCTTACCTCTGAGAGCTAGCTTCAGGTGGCAGGAGGCCTCACGGGAGCTCGAGAGTCACTATCGTATTGGAGACGAGGTGAATGGGGGGAGGCAACGATGCGGCCTGATAAATGGTCCATCCATCACCAGTTTGTACCTCAGACGCCAAGCAATTCGTGCGCTACGATATCACTTGTAACCGTAATCCCGATCGCTTCACGTTTGCACGTTCGAAGCCTTAAGTTCCAGGTATACAGGTTGTCAGCATTTAGCAACGTACAGGGCTGTAAACACAGATCGAAAGCATATTAGCAGAAGGCAACTTGTAAACCATCTTGAGCCATGACGTGTGTAAACACGTAACCGAAAGTTCGACTTCAATGGCAGTCCGGGACATGAAATCAGGCCCGACTGACTTGGCCCTGAGATGGAAAGTTCATCAGAGGCAACAGTTTCCTCGATGTTATATCCCCCCCCGCCGCTCTGCTACGATTCCGCTGCTTGGCCAGGCTGTTTGAATCTATTTGAAGCCTTTTACCCTCAACACTCTTTCAGCTCTTTCAAGTCTTTCTTGTAGTCTGAATGAGTGATTGCGGCTGTTATTGCCCATGCATCACTCATCGGTTTCTGTTTGCATAATCTGTCCAACTTGGCAGATTGGCTTTTCCTTCCGGACCTCTGACTGGCCGCGTCTGGGCTGCTTCGCCGGGACCCTGCGATCGCTGGTGGACCTGGACTTGGGGTTTGGGAGTTGAGTAGAGGTATGTAGAGGTGGAGCATTCGACTGGAGTGGGGAGGGTTCAAGTCTTAAGGAAGCCCAGTTGCTGAAATCGCTTCGCCAGAACCGACAGAAGCCCGAAACTTGTGCTGAATGCTGAGGCAGAGCACCACGCTTCTCAGCAAGCTCGGTAGTAGTTGACAGAGCCGGAAGAAATGCCAAAGTCATCTGCAGCCCGTTTGGCGCCTGGCAAGCAGGTGGACCTCGACCTGCTGTGGGCGCGACAGCATCCAAGCGAGCCGGTGGGTCTCAAGGGGTCGCTTGCTTTGAATTCTCGAGCTCTTCGTTGATTGCCAAAGTTTAGGATGTAGGGTTTAGGTTTTTATGGGATCTCGGGTTGAAGAGCACAACTTCTCGTTCACCGAATGGCTCTGCGACCGGCTCTGCTCACGTGCTAGGCTAGGCTAGGAAGGCACACACACACACACTGTTTCCAACAAGCTCAAACATCTGCCCGTGCTGACCTGGAGAAGCGCATGACGACTTCACGGGGCATGGCTTGCGCCAGGATGTCGAAGACAAGGTATTTGAGGTCAGTATTGGGAAAAGCAGAGATTCCTCGATCGCAACCTGTAACGTGTATGCGCACCCGCCGTATATAGGGTATGCGGATGTAGGCTGTTGGCTTCTGGATCACACCGTGGTGGGTGAATGGTTATGTCATGTTATGTCCAAAACTGTCCGAACCCTGCATGAGGGAAACACGCTGCACTGAGGCTTGTAGCCAAGCTTCTCCAGAAGCAGCTGGACAAGACAGAGCAATGCTCGAACTGGGCTCAAAGGCGCTGCTTGCAGTGTACAGAGTCATCCCACGATTGAACAGCTGCGTCAAGCCTTGTCCTCCGAACTCTGCAATCTGTTTCAAAGTTTAGGGTTTGGGGCCTCAGGGCCTCCCTGACTAGGCCGCTGTCGGAACAGCAGCTTCGTTATGCAGCTCTGGACGCTCACTGCCTGCTGCAGCTGCTGAAAGCCATGGAGCCTTCGGAGCAGGCCGGCTTGATGCGTCTCGGGAGATTCGGAGACCTCGCTGGTGGCTGTGCTTTTCGGATTCTTGCGAGGAGTCTCATACAAAAGCATAGTAATGTTGGCCACCATCCAGGAATCATCGCGGCATGCAGTGGCTCGTACACCGCTGCCTGCAACAAGACCTGAACGCTTTTGCATCTTCTTGGTCTTCTCTGCAGGAGCTCCTTTCGATCCAGGTTGACTTAGACCAGGTGCCTTGAAGCCGAATGCTGCAGATTTGTTTGGATTTAGGGCGGGAGTTGGATGAACACGTTTCGGGTGGTTGTTTCGGCCAGTCGAACTGCAAAGGAGTCGGCAAGCCTGGGAGATGCAAGGTACTACTTACAGTTACAGTGTCTTGCAAAAGCCTGTTTGACCAAGCAAAGCGCGCACACTGCCACTGTTTAAAGCACACAAACTCGGGTCTTGTCTCGCAGGAACCGGAGACCTGCATCGAATCCTCGGACGAGTTGTCAGGCCGGTTGGGCCTTGCAGCAGCTTTTTGTATTTTCTTGGCTCCTGTTTTTGCGGCGCAGGGTTCTGCAGATTTACAGGTTTACGATGCTGTATGTGGAGACTGTTTACTGCGGTCGCGCCTGGTGTGTTTTCCTATGCACATCTATGGACCATGCCCTCGCAGCAATTGCTTTGCACAACCATGCCTGCTAAACATACCGTTGTGCATCCAGGCGTGGAGATCCGCGTAGGGCGAGTGGAGGCTTCCTGGTGCCTGGGACGAAGTGCGGGGTGGCCTTCTTGCAAGAACGCTCATCTGACGGAAGCCAAGGCCAATTCCGGGTTCCCGGCACCTGAGCGGATGTCGCGCCTCATGGCTTTCAGTCAGGGTGGGCTCCTAGGGCCGGATGCGGCAGGCTTGTTGGAGGTCTTGCCTGAAAGAAAAGCCTTGGAGCAGCAGTTGTAACCAGGAGCCTGTGTGACGCTTGTCTTTCCCTCTAGGAGTTTAGCCGCGTGAGCAACCAGCGAACTGCCACTCCCAATTCAAGCCGGGTCACGTCCTCCGATTTTGAAAGCAGAGGTCAGCCTGGGCCGATACGGCCAGCGCCAGCTTGTGCAGGGGCCACTCGATCCGAACCATCGATTCGCCTCTCCCGTCCCGTTCTTGTGTCAATTTGTGATCCCTTCTGTCGCGGACCTATGACGCACTTCCGGGGCCGAGCCAGGTTTGGGCTGGGGCTTGGAGGTCGTGGTTCCAGCTTTGGGCCCCACTAGCTAATTACACTTCGGCTTTCAGGTGCTTACATGATGTTAGGCTAGGCCTCCCAGGAAAGCCTTAAACCACGTTCCGATTACAATTGTCAACACTGATATTCGTACATACTCTTTCCTCGTAATTGTAGATCTTGACTCCTCGACAACACCTGACCTCTGTTGGCCCCAGCCTATGCCTGCTTTTGGCATGCATTCATCGAGGGCCTGCATATTGGCTTCTTCAAGCTGTTGTTGGTGTGCAAATTGGTGCACTCAGGCTGCCAGTTTCTGCTGGGCAGCGCGTTTTCGTGATTTGCAATCTCTTGTCCCGCGAGCTCCCTGGCCGGCATAGCTCAATGAGATTGCGAAACTTGCAGAAGAGGTAGACATGTAGTATATACTTAACTTAGATCTGAATGGGATGCCTATATAGGTACTTTAAGGCTTAAATCTGAACCATAATATAGGTTGGGCAGAGTTTGTAAGGGAGTGGGTCTGCCATGATTCAGGCTGCAACGCCTAACCCCTAAGCTCCCAAACCCGAAAGCCGTGCATCTCTGTGCCAGGCTCTGGGGTCTTCCCTCGCAGGCAGGAGGACACTGTAGGGCCCGCACCGGGATTTTTTTAAATATACTTGTTCTTTTGTTTTTGTTTTGTGCCGCAGTTGATGTGTCAAGCAGCTGCGCGCGAAGCTTCTGATGTTTTCAGTCCTCCGGGCTGCAGCAAGATGGCACGACTGAAATTAAGGCTTTTTTACATAATTTATCTGCAAACATGCCAACCCGTTGAGTTCGGATGCATACAGATTTCTTGAAAGAGCACGAAACCACGGGCAGGCGGGGCTTCTAGCCGCCCGTTTCGCAGACGGTCGCCGGGCCCTGGCGGAGCCGCCTCAGAATGCAGAGCTCGGGGAGGCCGATACTCGTGGTGTATCCGCGTTTTCGAGGGCTCTGCACAGGTAGGTCAGTTGCAGGGTGAGCCTGGACCTGCTCATAGGTTTTGATGTCCACCCAAGTGTGGCTCAAGTGTTTCACGAATGTTCATGTGGCGGATGTAGCGGAGCGACTGCCTAGCCAAGTGACCCCAAGAGCTACTCGAACCCTAAAGACAAGGCCTCTCCGAATGCACAGAGCGCAGAAGTCTGCAGGTGCTTGGCACAGAGAAAACATGGGCACCTATTGATCTGACGCTGCCGGACAGCCCGTGGGCGCTTCCTGCCAGGGGGGTTTGAGACGGGACATGCACTTCAAAAAGAGCGCCAACCACAACGTCTCTAATCTTGGAAGTTCCTTACAACAATTATAGTATACTGTCCCCCCAAACCCTATTCTAATTATGAAGGTCTCGATGTTCGGGTCGGGTCCGTGGGTCCGTGCGCTTTGGATATGTCGTTTCGCCTTCGAGAGCGCAGATGAAGGGAGCCTGAGAGCCTGAATCCCAAAGCCGTTTAGACCACTCGAAGAACTTGGCCCTACTTAAGGGTCTCCTTACCTCCTCGACCTCCGGGTGTTCATGCCTTGTTTTTCGGGCTTGACTCTTGAATCTCATCGCCGGAATGTGGGAACCAGCACCCGGTCTGTGCTTGCTCCGGCCCCCCGGCTGCAGGACAACCCCTGGCAGCGTGCCTCCGCACGGCTGTCGACAAGTAAGGGTCTCGTGCTCCTCGATGGACAGCCCTTGAAATGCGCTACCTGGCGGTGCTACAGTGCTAAGGGGCCGGGGCTCGGAGATCAGCTTAAAGGAAGGCTCGGGGTTCGGACTTTGCCAGCGTGGTCGCGTTGCTATCATGGGCGGGGCGGCTTATTTCTGACAGCCTCAGCTTGGTCAGTTCATGCCCGGGACATTGCAGCAGTAGTTTGAATGAGGGCACGAGTGTTGCTGCAGGCTGGCGAGATCTGTAGCATCAGCGACAGCGGCGATGGAACCAGCGGAGAGTTCACCTGAACAACGGCGAGTTTCGGCATTTCGGGTTTCCCGCTCCGGTACGATTTGTTTCGTCTCCGGTCTTTGGCTGCTCAAAGCTGACCGACAGAAGTACAGAAAGCTAGAGCTGTTGGTTTCGGATTTCGTTAGTCGACAACCCCTCGACGTTGCAAGTTGGCCAAAGCCGCCAACGAGATCGCCTGTACAGTTCTGTTCACTACGCGAGGGCTGCAAACACATGCTGAGGCCGCACGTCTGACTGCACTGGCCAAGGCGCTGCAACCCCAAACCCGAAACATGTGCAGGGGTGTATGTGTATGCCATGTGTACGCCTCAAGCAGGGTGGTCGTGGTGGAGTGAAAGGGCCGCTACACCTGCACAAAGCAACTTGGGGTTCGGATCCGGGCTTCTGAGGCCAAGTCTGGAATGAACGCCCGGATTCTCTCTCAGGTCTCAACCGTCGTCAATGTGCGAACGAAAGGTCTAGGCGTTCCGAAAGGCGACACTCACAGGGAGGGCCACCTACGACGCAGGGACCTGAATCCCTGCAGGATGGAACCGTGGCAACCATTGATTATTGGGTAGCTTGCAGATGACGCTGGTGACACTCTGAATTCGCTCCACCTCGAAGCCTACCCCGTGAAGCAGATTGAGCATACTGCTGGGCTGTAGAGCTGTGCAAAAGTCTCTTGAGGTCCAGCACTGCGCAGGATGCAGCAGCAGCCTTGGACTCAAGAGCATTCCGAGACCCGTAGGCCTTGCGACGCGTCCCCTGGTGAGCTGAGGCCGCCGTCTGCAGCTCTTCGCCACGAGCTTGCAGACCGGGTGGCTGTTTTAGGCTCTCCAGGATGCTGAAGAGGAATTCTTTGTGAGTCTATGAGGATGATCTTGAGAGCAGTTCTTCTAGGATACCCGAGTCAATTGCGAATCTGCGAGATCCTTCTTAGGTCAGCCATGTTTGCGCGAAGTCAAGCCGACAACCCGGGCTTGGAGCTCAGACAATGAGCCTCTGCCACTGATGGGATGATCAGAGCCTTCAGGGCCTGAGGGGGGCCGCATGGGTGCATCCTATTCAAAGGGCGAAAGCATCCCTGCCTTTAAATCCCATCCTTTCTGCCGGACTAGAAGGGTTGCTACAAGGGATGCTAGAAGGATTACGTCGATAAGGGTTACTATAAGGCCCCTAAACCCTAAACCCTAAACCCCAAACCCCAAACCCGAAACCTAAGCCTTTTTTTGCAACCCCCTCCATCGAGGACTCGAAGCCCTGACATCCCAGGTCTCGAGTTGCGCGCGGAGGCGACGGGCTAGGAGAGTAGGGGGTTCAGAGCTGCAACCTGGGGTTCCGGTCTTTCTGCGTTCCTGTCAGGGTTCCTTTTTGGGTATTCTAGGGTCTGCGGTCTTAGAGGGTTTTGGGGTTTGGGTTTGGGTTTAGGGTTTGAGTTTGGGATATGGGACAGCGCTGGAGTGGCTGAACTGTGTTTGCCGCCACTTCCGCCCGCTTGGAAAGTGCTAACTGATAGCAGCCCGTTGCTTGACCTGTTTGTTTAGGGTAGGATTTGGGGTTCAGTCCTGTCGCCAGATCGCCGCAGCCGGATCCCCAGCTGTGACAGCAACGACTCGTCAGTGGTCTCGTGCAAGTTTCGCGCGTGGTCTTTGGTTTAGCAAGTTGCCAATTGATTGAGGGCAGCGCCGAGCCCCTTTCACACCCGTCATGCGTTGAGAGAGGTTTCCGTGTCATTCTGTCGGAGGGAAGAGCAGCGGCTGTTTTGCCAAGAGGGATGCTGTCGTACCCGTAAGTACGTACTAGTACAGTATTATCGTTGTTCTTTGGGGTGGAGATAGTCGCATTAGCTTCATTGGGAACGGCCATATCGATCCTGACACAGTGCGAGCGACGCCAAACGACTAGTAACTGGTAATAGTGACAATGGCTGTTTTGATACGCAATATGGAGTCGTAGGGTGTATGCAATGTTCCTTGATAGCCTTGGGCTTTGGTCGGGTAAAGCGCAGTCGTTCCTGCAGATCATGTTGCAGTCCTGTGCGGCAGGTGACAAACCTTAAGGTTCTGCTACAATGACTTAGCTCCTCAGATGCCAGCTGCTAAACGCTTGTTGTGAAGACACGTGAACAAGGTGTGGGATGCCGTTGCTGAGCTTGCGGAGATCGTCGGCGATGCGGCTCCTCCCGGAGCCATGTCCTCATCTACCTGGAACCCTTCATGTATTGTAAGAGCTATCGAGGTTTGCTGCATTTCGGGCTCTAGGAGCCGCTTGAAACACATACTCGTTCCAGTCCATTTGTTCCAAGTGCGAGTTAACAGGGTGCTCTGAAGGGTTCTTGGAGTCTCCAAAGCTTTGCAGGCTGTGCGCTTGACTTCGAACACTGGCTCAGGCAAGTGCTGCCATGTCTAGTTCAGCCTCACCTGCCGATGTAGGACCCGTGACGGCCAAGAGTCCGCTGGTGTTCACGATTTTTGGGAACATTTGAGTCACTGGATGCTTGCTGGACCCGGTAGAATGCGACTGACTATATATAGCGAAATGCTCCTGCTCTTCGACCTCGAAAGCTCTTACCGTGTGAGTGTGTGTGTGTGTGAGAAGGCGCCATTCAGAGCATGGCCAGCGCGGCTGTCGCCGGCGCAGCTGGCCTTAAACTGCGAGCATGGCTTCCGGCAGAAGAGACCCGGTGCTTTGATTTCCGTGAGTAGTGTGATCAGAGAGTTGCAGTCCGAGTCTTATTCAGCGGCACGGTGGTACGTTCGTTCTTGCCACTGTCTGCCTCGCTAACACGGTATTGCGTGACTGTTTCCACCATGTAATCTGAGACCACCAAATGCTGCGCCCCAAGCATCCCCAAGCCCTTCTAGTGGTCTTTGGGTAGTGTTGAGGTCCAGAACTGCGAGAGTGGGACCCTCGGCGATGCATGCCGTATACCTGTGACGCTGTTTAGCTGGGCTTCAACCTCGTGTTTGGGCTTTGGCGCCTTAACCGTAACCCCAACACCCCGCACGGCTGAATAGCCAGAGCCTGATCGACTTGCTTCTTCATCCCGTCCCAGAACCTTCAAGATGTTGGAGAAGACTGAGAGCGGTAAGGCTTGCTAGGGGTGTGGCCGTCGGTACCTGCTATTCGAGTTCGAACCAAACCCTCTTTGCCCTAGACTACCTGGCGCCTAGGCCGCGTCATTCCCGAAGCAACGGCGTCCTGCAACCTCGTCACAAAAACACAGAGCCGGACATTCGACAGACATCGACGGACCAGATCGATGCAGCATCCTGTTTCTTGTGGATCTCACTCGAAGGCCGCATCGATGGCTTGAGGGGCGAAGTGACAGAGCCAGGCCCCCATCTTCCCGCTGACTGAGACTGAGACCATCTGCTTCAGGCTCTTCCCGGAGCTCCTAAGGGCCCAGGCTGTGGGCCTCCTTCAAGATAGAGTGAGTAGTTGAATAGTTATAGTTACCACTACCGCTACTAAGGATGACTCCTTGTTATAACAAGTCTACCTCAGCCCTTCACCCGTAACCCTAAACCTACAGAAGTATATAAGTCACCTTTGGCTCTCCCTGAGGCTCGCCTTGCGCCTTGCCGGCATGGGCCCTCAGTGTGTTTGGTCGGATCGGTCTTCTGCGCTTGATTCCCATGATGCCCTGATCATGTCCTTGCCTCCTTCTTAAAGAGTGTATACATATCTATCTATATATATATATAGATAGATAGATAGATAGATAGATAGATAGATCTTCATTTATTTATGCTCTAGTTCTGCATGTATTCAGTCTCATATTCAGGCCACGCAGTATCTTGTATACGAAGACAGCGTGAGGGGGTTTTGATTGTGGCCCGAAGCATGTCACAGCGGGGCCAGTAACCTTTCACCGGGTTCAATATACTGGCGACGGAGCCCTTACGTCCCACTGTCTAAACAGCGCTCTCTCCACGGAGCTTGATCCTTAACACGCGGATGCGACTTTGGGGTCTTGGGACCCCTCATTTTCGGAACTCTTAGCCTATCATTCTTGGTAAGATGATAGTGGTATCCCCTTATAGCCACGATCTCATGACCGGTGCAGATGATATTCCGATCATCCCCAACAAAGCCAAAGTCCGAGGCCTGGAGCGACAGTCAAGTAGCCGTGAGGTGCCTTCTGGAGCTGGCATGGGCAGGGCTCTGTGCTGTGGGCTTTGGGGTTTAGGATTTGGGGTTGGGGGCGCTGAGGTGTAGGGTTTAGGATGGGGACAGGGGGTTTAGGTTGAGACGATGAGAAT